CGCCAGCCCCGCGCCCGCCTCCTCCTCATCCTCGCTCTCCTTCCTTCCCTCCCTCCTTCCCTCCCTCCCTCTCGGCTGCCGGCCCCGCGGGAAGAGCGCGGCCCCGCCGCGGGCTCCGTGGCGCTGCCCCGCAGCAGGTACGCGGCGCTGGCGGGGCCGTTAGCCGCGGTGCGGGAGGGCAGGGCGCGCGCGGCGGCGGCGGCGGCGGCGGCGCGGGGCAGACAAAGGCGGCGAGACAATGCGGGCCGCGGCGGGGGGGAGGGGGCGGCGCGGGGCCGGTGCCCGCCATGACTCAGGGTTTTGCGAGCGGGCTCTCGTGTGGCGCGGCGGGAGGCGGGAGCGGGCGGGAGCGCGCGGGGGGAAGCGGCCGTTGGGAAGGGGGCTGCGCGCCGGGCAGCGCCTCCCTTTTGTCTGGCGCGCCGGGAGGTGCCCGGCCGTGGAGCCCGCGGCCGCCTCCCCGGCCCCGGGAGCTGGGAACGGGAGGGACGGGCCCGTCCCGGGGGGATGAGTGAGTATTTGGGTCAGCTAGCCGGTTCAGACCTGCCGTTGACGCAGTTGACAGGTTTTATTGCAGATTTAAGTGCGCTTGGGATTTTGATTCCTTACGTGGCGTTAAAGCCTGGAATTGKCAGGCCTCAGTGTTTCAGCAGCAGCTTATGGGGGTGAAGCCGGTGTCCAAGGAGGAGCATCTCTGTGTGGATCGCTGGAATGGTTTGGGTAGTCGGGAGCAGAAGAGGCCCTGCCTTAGGCGCGGGCCCTGGATAACCGGGGGGAGATATCGAAGGGGCTCGTGCTTCCATGCTCCGGGTGAGTTTACCAGCAGCCGTGAAGCTACGTGGCCTAAATTGCGGCTTAGCCTGCGGAATAACAGCAGCCGGGAGGGCCTTGGGGCAGAGCAGGAGGCTCCGTGGCGCCGGAGGCCGCTGCCTTTGGGAAGGGCTCCCGGTTGGAGCGGCCCTGGCGGTACCCGGGCGGCCGGGAAGCGGCCGGCACCAAACGGCTCTTGGGGCTGCGCAGCCCGTGATGCTGCGTTTCCCGTCGGAGCCGCCCCGGGCAGGAAGCGGTGTCCGCGTTGTAACCGGGTTTCACGTTCCCCGCTCGCAGCGGGTGCCCGCGCGGCGCCTGGCAGCGCCGGGACGTAAAAATAGAAGGTGATTTCAGCGGCCCCGCGGAGGAGGCCGCGCGCGGCGCCCGCTCAGCCCGCAGCGTGTGACAGGCGCCCGCCGCGTGACGTGACGTGAGGTGAGGTGACACGGCAGCCTGGGTCCAGGCCCGTCCCGGCGCGGCCGAGCGGCCCGTGCGGAGCCGCCGTGTCCCGAGCGAGGCGAGCYGCACGGGTCTCGCGTCTCCCTTCAGCGCAGGCCTCGCCTTTGCTGTTGTTCGTTCCCAGGATAAACGGCTTGGTTTGGTGCCCTGCTTGTTAGATTCAGTGCAGGAATCCACTATCACTAGTTCCTGCTGGTGATAAGGGCTCCTGGAAGAGGCGTAGGTGGCACTTGGGCCTTCTTCAAGAGCGTGATAAAGCACAATTTCTTAACTACCGGTAGCAGCAACTTGACCTTTCGGCTAGGGGCATGTGTTTCAAGTAGTGGGAGAACGTGTTGACAAAGGAGCCCTGGAGAGTCTTGTTTGTAAGATGTTAATACCCGCATTAACACCTAGAGCTAGATTTAGTAAGTGGAGAAACATGTTTACAGCGTAGAGATTGGCGAGTGGAGCAAGCCGGTTGAGATTGGAGACAGGAGCTGTGATGGCACGTTGAGTTTGCCCACTTGGAAGGTGGCGGAGCAATCTCCGCCTCTATTGCAGAAACATAAAGCTGAGATACGGATGAGATGTTTTAGATTTCAGGTTTATGTAGTTGTCGCTTCTGCTGACTGACTTGACCAGTGTCTGGCTGTCACGCTGCAGTTTGCAGAGAGGCTTGTCAGAATAAGTAAGTTTGATTTTCATCCTGAAATGAGGGTATAAATAGTTGGAGTCCCATGACCATCAGCAGGCAAGCAGATTAATTCTACTTGTTTCTTCCCTCCTGCTGCTGCTGATTTACTTTGATCCTAGAAACCTTTTTTCTTTTTTTCTCTCCTTGACTGTTACTGCTGAGTTATGTATACAATTTGCAATTTGTTAATTTTTAGTTATGAAAAGTGTTCTTGCATATGTTGAATTTGGGTTTGAATATGGTATATTTGGGCTTACCTGAGTCTCTAGTCAAATACCCTTCATGGATTTCAAGCAAACATCTTCAAATACTTGCATGGTACTTCCACAGAATCTGAACTTTGGGAGGACAAGTGCAGTATTCCTACATGCCCTCAATTTGTTGTAGATCACTTGATTAGTGTGTTCCAGTTCTGTTGCCTTTGGGAATCAAGGATGTGGTTGCTCTATCAGTTTTCCTACTAACCCTGCTTTGCGGAGGTTAACCACCAGTGAAGGTGAAATATTTTTGTTCCTTCATTTTGCAGTAGATGAGAGACAGTTTTAGCCTTGCCTGCCTCTGGGAGACATTCTGTATTTTTTTTGATACAAGGGATTTAACTGGCGKCTTGGATATATGTAGGCTCTCTAAATGAATGTGTTTAACAGCCTGAAGTTGTTTTTTCTTGGAAGAGTAAGATCAGGCCTGAATTTATKTCAGAAATAAGTTCTTTGACTATGACAGCCTATTTTTACACATGTTATTGCCAGTTAATATTCAATATCGAGTTTCATATGCAATTTGAGCAGAGTTGAGGGTCWTGTTTTAGGATCTACTTATAAAGATCTGTAGGAATACAGTTTAAAATTATCTGTTGCCCATACTTCAGTGATCTTTATCTTTTTGCTTAACAAATGAATTTTGAAAGTAGGTACTGCTAGTAATTAATAGAGTTAGCATCAAAATGATGTAACTTCCACTTGAAGTGCAATTCTGTTGGACTTAGAAAAATAAGCTGTGTTAATTGATAGATTATTCAGTAGGTGCAAACCTCATCATGTTTATTCTGCTTATCTACCTGTGTGTTTTTCCTGTTCTGTAAGTGCTTGTGGATGGTAATAAGCTTTTGGTGGTTAAATTGAACTTGGTCATAACCCACTCACACAGTCTAGCGTCTAAAAAATATGTTACTTTTCAGTATTAGTACAGTAGCACTTTTTTTCTTAAGTTAGTAAAGATATTGCTCATCAATATAATTGCAGTATGGAATAGCATGTTAATATCAATATATCTCTTTAAAAAAGCTGGTATCTGTTTTRGTGGACAGGGTGAGCATACTTTTGTTCTGTAACTGTGATTGATTTTGGTGACACGCCAGCTCCTAATGCAGGTCTTGGTTTTATTTACAGCACCGAGATGGCTCAGGAGACAAACCAGACCCCAGGGCCCATGCTCTGTAGTACAGGATGTGGATTCTATGGAAATCCTAGGACAAATGGGATGTGTTCTGTTTGTTACAAAGAACATCTTCAGCGACAGCAGAATAGTGGCAGAATCAGCCCAATGGGTAAGATTTTAAAGTGTTTTCTGAAAAGATGACGAAGAGAAGAATCAAAACACATTTATAGAGAACTTCTGAGAACTGTGTAGTAAGACTACAAATATTAGCAAATAATACACAAATGAAAAATAAAACTGCATTTCTATCTAATAAATTCTAGCCAAAATAGTTTTGAACCTTAATTTTCATTACTACCCATCTTGCATATCAGTGCATTCTTAGAAAACTCTTGTATTTGCTATTTAACAATCTCGTCTCTGTAGGTAACAAGTAAAATGTAGTGAAATGAAGAATGGAGAGAAATGGTATATTACGGTATGCAAGGGTATTTGAACAACTTACCTACAGTTTGCTCATAATTGACTTCTCAAATTCATATTACACAGGAACAACCAGTGGTTCAAATAGTCCTACCTCAGACTCTGCATCTGTACAAAGAGCAGACAGTAGCTTAAACAACTGTGAAGGTGCTGCTGGCAGCACATCTGAAAAGTCAAGGTAAGATGAAAGTATTATTTTAAGGTTTGAATTAGCTGAGAGTGTGCAGCAAATTAAAGACTTGAAGTAATATTGACCTGATATATTGAGTTTCTGTGGGGGGAAAAGCAGGGGGAGAAGGGACAGTGAACCTATCAGTGCTTTATAATCCTTATTTATAAGAACTGATTACGGTGTTTGTTTCATTAATGCAATTACAAGGATGTTTCTGGTGTATCTACATGTTGAGTATTTTCACAGAATCACAGAATGGTTGAGGTTGGAGGGGACCTCTAGARATCATCTAGYCCAGCCCCCTGCTCCAGCAGGGACACCCAGAGCATGGGGCACGTGGTATCATCCAGGCAAATTTGGAAGATCTCCAGAGAAGGGAGACCTTTTGTTCTAGGAAAGCTGAAATCAGAGTGCCAAATGCACACTGTCTGTAGCAGAAGTTGAGATGAGGAACTGTAGCGCATTTATAAGTACTAATTGAACAGCTGATTCATGAATTTAAGCTTTTATTATGAAAATAAACTAATGGCAAAAGTAATGTTTAAACCTGTTTAACTATACTTAAACAGAAATGTGCCTGTTGCCGCCTTGCCTGTAACGCAGCAAATGACAGAAATGAGCATTTCAAGAGAGGAAAAAATAACACCGAAAACAGAGACTGAACCAGGTATGTTTGCGGAGTAACACGAGGTACGACTGGAGACCTAACAGAAACTGACAGTTTATTTTCTTTTAAGCAAGCATCTCCCTTTGTGGTGAAGGTTTTGAGGAACTATTAAGATAATTATTGTAGAAGCTTTTGGAGTACTGGTACACTTGAGGTCAAGAAAAATTACTAATACCGGAATATAATTCTTCAGATAGAATTCACTTCCAGGTTCAGTTCAATTTGAGTAGAGAATTTGATGCCTGTGAAGGCACTTTGCCTCCAGAACTGTAATTCTTACAAGTGAGACAGTTGATAATTGCATTTGGGCAAGATGTTCAGTCTCAAAGTGAAAATGTTGAGATTTCTGTGTAAAATCTATCAGTACAATTATTGCTGACTCATGGCAGTCAAAATAGCTTGCTGTATTTAAAGAACAAAGTTCCCAATATATTAAACTTTACAGAGGGATGTGAAAGTGGTAGAAGGGAATACTTTGTTTAAAATATTAAAAAAGACTGCTACAAGTCCTTTAGACTGGTTGGATAACCAGTAGATATAGCCAAGTCATAGTTCTGCAGGTATGGTATTTTTAATGGCATTAATTGCTTAGACTAYCCAGTTTAAGAGTTCTATTGTACAGGAAGGTTGTAGCTGTAGTAGTTAAACTTTGAAGTGTAAGGTTTATTGGAGGGAAGCATGAAGAGAGGGTGTTTTTTAATCTATAGGTGGTGAAGGACTGATTTTTTTTTCCTTATGCAGCAGTTTATTCAAATGAACATATTAGCRTGCTTGTTCTGTATATATAGACATTCTTCCAACACTGACTGTTTACATCTTTTATTCCTCGATTTTGAAAACCAGGAAGTTGGAAACTCCAAAAGTTAACCATTCATCATTGTATTAAAATGTTTATCTAGACATACCTTTACCAGTAAAAACACTGTTGTAATAGTTGACTTCTTGCTCAGTGTTTGTACACAGATTTTATATATATTTGAAATAAGTAATGCTAAGTTAAGATTGTGAAATGAACTAAAATATAGTTTTAGTATATTCATCTTTTTTGTGTACAGGCTCAGGGGAGATTTTTACATGMTTCTGCTTTTTGCAATGGATGTCATCTGAATAGGCTTACTGTATATAACTGAGAAATAATTTATACTTTGATACAGTATTTATAAACCTGTATTGTCTTGTTATGAATACCTGCCTAGAAAGATGACAAGCAGGAAAGAGAATTGCAGCAAATGGTAGCAGTGATCAAGTAACGGTTTATGTTTTATTAAAATTGCTGATACGGATTTATTACTTTTGCTGGCCCTCTTGTACTGCTGTTGACCTGGTATCTTTTTTGTTAACTGGGAAACTATGTAATAGTCGCACAACACTTATTATTGATGAGAGAAGTATATTTATATTTGTAAATAACTTTACAGCTGGAAACTCAAGGCTGAACCTAGTAAAAGCTCAGTTAAGGCTTGTGTGCAGAGATCACTGTAAATAAAGGCTACCATCAGATACAAACATGCTCAGGGAAAAAAGACTTCTGGAATTCAAGCATGTTTTGGGGGGGAAAAGATTTGCTCAGTACATACCCATAAATTCTTAAATCCACCTGCAGCTCCTCTGAAAGTGCAGATTTCTTTATAGACTCTTTTTTTTTTGGTGTGGGGCAGATGTTAGAGAGCAAGATTAGGTACTGTTATTAGATTGCAAAGGGTTTATTTGGCATCTGAAGTGTACCAAGTTTTTTTTTATGTTCCCTGGTCCATTTACCTGTAAGGGTCTTATACAATCAAGAGAAAAGCTGGACTGAACACTTTTTTATTTTTATAAATTTCCATTGTGTCCTTGCTACTTGTTTTTTTTTTTTTTCTTTTCAAATGAGCATACAACTTATTGGAAGTTGTTAACTCATATTAACTCGTACGCACATCAGTGTCTTGGTGAAACCAGTTGAGGAAGAGCTAAAATAAGTGAAGAATAAATTTGTTTTACCTCATAATGAAACTGATGCTTGCTATGAGTTGTTATTCCTCACAAATAAATTCATGAAAGGCTAACCGTAGCAGCTGAATTTTGTAACTATCGGATAGGAAAATGATGTACAAACAATGTAGCCTTCAGGCAGTGTAGGCTTCTCTCATTTTTAATAYCGTCGCTGGTATGAAGGCTTACTCTTCTACAAGCTTTTCATTAGCAAATGAAACTTTAGACTTCCCATGCATGCCAGAATATTGTAAAAAGTGTTGTCTGGTTGATTGCTTGTGTACGTTTTGTTTTGTGGCTTYTCTAAGTGTTGTTTCTTTTAAGTAGGTTTTTCTTCATCTTGGAGTTAAAGTGTACTGTTTTGGTATTGCAGTTTAAATGTCTGATTGTAGTGTGTGCTGCAACTGAGAGGAAAAATGAAGCAAAAGGGTTGTTTTTATTCTTTTTATTTATTTATTTCCAGGATTGAGTTTGTAACTTGGATCCCTATCCAAAACAAGTTTGGATCCCTATTCGAAACAAGTTTGGTCCTAATGCAATTTTTCATTTTAATATTTGAAGCAACAGACTTAAACTAGCCCTGTTGTAATACATCTAAAATGAGTTAGATTTTGTTGTAACTTACTGTATCAACATGATATACTTTTATAATTTAATTGTGGCTTGTGCTCAGTCCATTTGCTTATCTGATGTGCTGCTAACAAAAGTCAGTGAAATCTACAATCCTTTATGTCAAAACTCCAGTTCATAATTCGGTACTGGTAATACCGTGCTATTCACAGGATTTGATATGTGTCTAAGCTTTTTTTTTTTTTATTAAGGACTGAGTAAAGTCTTTGCCAAGGTCAGGATATACTTGACTCTGAAATCTTAGCATTCCTGAAATATGATGCACAGCTATGACTTTTTTGTTTTGTTTTCCCATACTGAGTTACAGAAACTAAATGCAGAATTAGCTAACTTATTTTTTCTTGCATTACTGCATCAACATGATGATTTTACTGAGTTGGAAAGACATCGTTGGAGACGTTCKTTAATAATCCCTTTTGTTTTAGTTGCTTTCAAGTGGAATTAAAGGATCCGTACAAGAAAGAGGGCAGTTAAATATTAAGCACTAAAAATAAACTGCTTTGAGAGCAAGTATGTTTAAATAATCATATTTTTTAAGTCATACATATCATGTTTTTAGCTTTGTTTCCCCTCTTCCCCCCGACTTAATTAGTATCAACAGGCACATCAGAATCTTGGTTTATTTGACCCAGTAAATGTACTGTTTTGGGGAGTAGTGTGATGAGTTATCGTACTACTGTGTGAAGCCACAGTATTTAATGAGCTTCAGAAGACAGATGTTGATGTTCAACTCACTTGTCTTTTGACTTTGCATCAAGCCAGTGTGATTAGAGTTACATTAATGTTAAACAACACAGCTCTCCTACATGCAGATTGAGCCTCATGTGGGTTATGGGTTGCCCTCAATCATTCATGCAGTATATGTTGCACAGAGAGTTCTGTGCAAGTTGCTGATGTAAGATGCCAGCATTAGATAATTGTATGCTCAAGGTGGTAAATATTACTTAGTTCTTGCTGTTTTAATAAGTGCCATATTCATCTTTAAACACTGCTTCAGTATTTAATCATGTTACTGTCTATAAGCCTTTGTTGCCATCTGTGGAGCCTGTTGACATAAGAGCGTTGTTGCCTTGTGTTCAGAATAGTTCTCTTCAAGCTTCCCATGTCCACTGAATCTTGAGTAGAAAAYCCTGATTCAAACATTTCTGAAATGGAAGCAGTAATTTTTTCAAGCCTTGGAACTGCCCACCTTGGAAAGGGAGCTTGAGGTGCAGATGCTGGTGCTGTGCTTCTTACTGATAAGTTGTTATTGCCTCTTTCTAACAGAGGGGTATACAACAAACATCAAGACTTGATGACCAAGTTAAGCTGCATTTCAGTGTGATATTTAAACAGAGATATCTTAGTATTATACTAGTATAACAGTAAGGTTATCCAATATGCCTGTTRAGAGTTGGACATGTTAGTTAAGCATTGAAAAATAGTTCTTTCTTCTTTCTTTGGCATAAAATTGAAAAAATGTAATTTATTCTTCAGCCTATCCTGAACATCTATAGCAACTGAAGTTTCTGAAGAGCAAAATATCCATCTTAAAAAAGCTTGACTTACATAATAAATACCATCTGTCCCCTTCAGTGACTTAGAATTTATATACAGGCCAATTTGTGTTATTGCAGTACAATGAGGATTGCACAACCTGTAGTGTAACTTCTGTGCCCTAATGTTGCAGGAGGGTGATCTGATGTCTTATGGGTTCGCTTTTRAGGTCTATTCTTTGCTGTTAAGATTTTTTTTCAAGTTTTGCTTTGGTAGGAATGGAGATGTCAGTGTCATAAAACTATGAAACGTTTTTTATTATTAATACTGTCATGTTTTTTATTGCCAGTTATTTTCTTGCTTATTAGTACTGTGGAAGTCATATGCCGTATTAAACTGAGGTGTTTCTATTTTTGATAATGTGGTCACAGAAGGAGCTCCTAAAATTTTTTTGATATTACCTCAGTAGCCCCTTCTGTGTGGACTGTTGAGATTTTTCTTTTTATTTTCACTGAGTTTTGTCCAACTGGAAGGTGTCTCTAGCATAAATCTCAAGTCCGAATGCGGTAGGCATGGTCATTTGCCACTGCTAAAYTCATTTGTATAAAGAAAATACAGTCAGTTTTGATCTTCATTTTGCAGTTTTTGGTTACTACAATGGTTGTTACTTTTGAGAAGTCATAGTACCTGTGGCTTAATAAAGAGCAGTATTGTTTGTACTGTATCTGTATGTGTTGAGTGATTGCTGTTCCACCATGCCTTTCTTAAAAATTCATCTCTTCTTCAGATTAACATGAAGTAAGCCTTCAAATTTACCATGTAGCATCTGGTGCTTGTCCTCTTGTCCTTTTTTTTTTTTTTTTTTTTTGGCACTTCTGACAATGCTGTCTCCTGCAGTATACTACAAAATAACTATTCTGCATTTTTCTTAATTTTTTCTTAATTTCTCAATTTCTTAATTTCTCATTTTTTTTTGTTAAATTGCTAATACTGATTTTCTCAGTTCTAGAAATCTCTGTTGCTCTTAAGTTTTTCAACTTTGTAGCAGGAGAACTGGCTGGGTAAAACTCAAGTGAACTAAATGTAATTTGGTAGTTTTCTGAGCCAGTGGTTGAGAAGGGAAATGGCCAGGGTGGTGCCGCAGAGGAGGAGTACATGCCTCCAGGAGCCCTAAGATGGTCCTCACATCAGTTTTAGTGGCAAAGGGCTTGCCTCATCTGAATAGGAATATAAGTACTGAAGAAGCAGGTCTGGAAGCAGCATTAACAACAGTTTTCCTATCACTCTATTAAGCTTTTGTGTAGTGCTTTATTACATAGCGATAATATGACAGTCGTTTAGACCACTTTGATTTTGTCAGCACCATGTGATTTCTGAACATAAAATGAATTCAGTACATTCTTGACTGACCTGATTGGCCAGACAGATTTGGTCTCTATGCCATCGGAAGCCTTGTTTTGGTGACAAGGAGTTGTCAGGATAGTGTCTGAGTTTATACTGTCTTCTGACATCTTGCCAGAACAATAGCATTTTAAATATTTTTCATTAGAGCTATAATTTGGGGAAAAAATGTTCTGTAAGCTTGAGTAAGGGCACTATAGGCAGGTTTGTCTATMGTTGTTAATTAGAAGGGACTTGAGGTTTAAGATAATAAAAACTCATAATTGGATTTATTTCTGGCATAATAGTAGGAAAAGGCTTTATTTTGCACATATAACCATGGTAGAGTTAYTTGAACATTCATTTTTTAGACAGTTGTGCCAACATATTTTTGTCTTGGGCCTTCCGACAGCCCATTTCTGGCTGTTSTCTGCTTTTGTTGTCTGGCTGTTGTCTACCTTTCTGTCCTGAAACSTGTTTTTATTTGTGGTGAAGGGAGTAAATGTTGTTCAACAGCTTTCAGATGAACTGGCCCTTTTCAGTCCTCAGGATTATTGTCACCACTTTCCTGTTCCCATGTTGTTGGTATTGGCATAGGCATTTCTTGCTGCAGTTAATATGGAGGAGGAAGTACTTTGGTAGCAGTTGGTAACGTTTTTCTCAGATACCATTTTCATGTAGGTTTGTTCTTTTTTTCTTCTTGTGTGTGTAGCATGGAATCATCATCATTATTACTGAGAGCCGTGAGAGAAGCTGTCATTTCCATTTTTGTTTCCTTTYGGGCACATTCAGCAGTGATAAAGTATTTAGATTGTTCTTTTTCTTCTTTTCATTTCCTTAAGTGCTGTGTTGTGATAAAATTCATCAGTTCACTGTTGCTTTCCCTCTTCTTTCCCATTTCATTTTCCATCTGACTGAAAAAATGTGCGTGTTCCAGGGCTCATATTACTGGGTTCTGATGCAGCTGAAGATTTTCCCTGACAAGCTATATTACGAATTTCTTGTTCTTTTTTTTTACCTGCTATGGCTTGTTGATGGTATTTTATTTTAAAACAGAGTAGCCTTTTAACAAACCTAAAAGGAACTTGACTGACTCTTTTGGTTTTGGAGGTTTTGCGGGGATTCTTTGGGAGACATTTTTTTTTGTATGTTTTAATGCCATAGCTAATACCTACCAGCCAACATGTGTGGTGACCCACCAAGTTTATGCTATTTTAGTGTTAGTTATTTCTAAGCCAGTATTTGATCACGGGCTCTCAACTAGATTAACCACATAGTGAACACTGCTTTCCTAGGTAGAAAATAAAAGATTAAATGGAAACTACTCTGAGAAGTATTACTATGAGTAGTGATTAAAATGTCTGCCTTTTTTAATCTATAAGCCCTTAAAGTATTTTGTATGCAAGACTCTGTATAGTTTACTATTATCAGATTTAACAAAATAGTTTTCACTCTGGATTTTCCAGATTTTATTTCTTTATTTAAGAATGATTTTATAAAATGTGCCAAATATAGTATGTAGGCTTTAATGATTCATTATGACATGTAATGTTACAGTAAAATAAAAGAAAATATTAGAAACCATTCTTYGTTTTCTTATGTGTTTGAACAATAGCTACAATCCTACAACTAGGAGAGCTCAGGGAGGCTGTGGAGGAGCTAGGTCCATGTTTTCTGTGTGTTTGAATACAAACATAGCTCCCTCAAGCTTTTCTCTATGCTAGTTAGATTTTGAAAATGATTTTTAAAAAATTGACTCTCRAAGTCTCAATTTTTAAAAAATCTAGTCTCAAAAAAAGGTATCTCAAAGAGGTTTCTCATGTCCTAGATGYAGCACAGAGCCAGGGGCTTGGAAGCTCAAGGAAGTTAACTGCTGTTTTGATTGACTGAGGTTTTGGATCCTCTGGCTCTGCAGGTAGAGCAGCAGAGTGACCCTGTGCTCTGACAGCAGCACGCTGCCACAAATGGTTTCCGTAATATACACTGTGGATTACATTTTCTACAGGTATCCCTTCTGCTCAACAACTTAAGCTGGGTCAATATTGCTAACCTTTCACGTAAATTTGAATTTGACTGTAAGATCTAATGAGACTGTATGAGCTTGGAAAATCCGGAGTTCTCTGCAAGCACTAACAGTACAGCTTTGATAGTGATCTTGTATTTTCTAGCTGGTAAAACAGTGGGGAAAACTTGATAGTCTTCTGTAAAGCCAAACAGGAAGCTAATACCTTACCTAAAAAACTGTATTCCTGATTTATGTTTCATAATTTGTTCTGCTTGCCACTCCAGAGAAACTGCATCATTGATGAGTACATGCTTGGTACAGAATTGTTAGGGATGTCAAGAAAAACTTCAACTTCTATTTTTCTTTGCTTATTTTAACAGTTGTTACTCAACCAAGCCCATCAGTTTCTCAACCTAGTACTTCACAGAATGAAGAGAGAGCCCCTGAGCTGCCCAAACCAAAGAAGAACAGATGTTTCATGTGCAGAAAGAAGGTTGGCCTTACAGGTATAAGAACACTTTCTAAATATGGATCAGATCTAGGTGGTTAATTGCTTATGACAGGTTGAATCTGAAATATCTGTAGCCATTAAATTTATTTCCTGCTTAAAAATTAGCAGTGCTAGACCACTTAYTACAGCTGGTATTTTGGAAATAGTCACCCTTTCTACTCTCTTTGTCTGAAGACCATTGCACATACCTCTTTGTTTCTATTGACTAGGCACTTAATGTACTGGTTGCTTATAGCCGAAGCTTCCTAGTAATGCTGCTCCCTCTCCCCTCGTTTGTGCAGGATTTGACTGCCGATGTGGAAACTTGTTTTGTGGACTTCACCGTTATTCCGACAAGCATAACTGCCCGTATGATTACAAAGCAGAAGCTGCAGCAAAAATCAGGAAAGAGAACCCAGTTGTGGTGGCTGAAAAAATCCAGAGAATATAAACTAACCTACTTGTGAAAAGACTGACTTTCTTTGTTTTATTTTAATATATCCTAGGAAAACATTAAAGAGCAGATGCATGGCCATTTTCCTTTGATGTTCTCCAAAGTTTTACTTTTAGTCTTGTCTGTCTTAATGATATTTCAGAATGTTTGGGTGTTTGTTACAGGCAGAATTGGATAGATACAGCCCTTGAAAATGTATATGCCCTCCCCAAAATATAATTGAATGATGAGAATGTGCACGGGAATACACATGCACAGAGGACATACTCTAGTTCACATGTGCCAAACAGATGTATACTATCTGCATGCTTGCAGCACATCTGCCTTTTGAGGTGTGTTTGAAGCGTATAATCCTTGGCTAGTGCCTGTTGGGGRGAAGGACACATCAGAAAGGTTGGCAGTCGACTTCTGTCATTTAAAAACTCATTCCGATTTTAGTTTCCACACTCTGTTGTTTTCCAGCAGAATGTCGGCTATGTAGACGAGTCCATTTTCCACGGAGATGAGTGTTGGTGCCATATTTAAAGAAGATTTTCTTAACAATTTTAGTGGGAGAAGTGGAAAAAAAGGGGCATATTTGGGAAGAAAACTATTTTGGAACCAATTAATTAACTTGAGAATCATGAAATTGGGTTCCTGAAGGAAAAATGTTGTAAGAAACTTATGAACTGGCCTGCAACTGAATTGCCTGCTTTTCCTTGCATAGCTAAAAATGTTGAGTAGCACAGTATTTTACGATTGGTTTACAAAACAGAGGCTATATCTCTCTTTAGACATAGTACAGCAGCTCAAGCAACACACATGCATCTGAGTAAATTAGAGAAGCATTTGGACAGTTTATTTTTCATATACTACTTATGTTTGATGTATCTGGGCTCAAAAATATTAAGAGCTCTTTTTTCTTTCTATTTTTAACAATTGCACCATTATGCATGGAAAGCCATACCCAACATGGCTGCTGTAGACTTAAGTGGTAGCTGGAACCACTCTTGGAGGGCTGCTTTATCATTTTTAATTGTAATTGGGTGTAGGACTGTAGTGTTCTTGGGTGTATTGCATGGGCTGCATTATCTACAGCATTGTACAATAACAACTCTAGAAAAGGCAGTAAACTTCACTGGCGCTTGTCTGGTAATATCACTTCTGTGTTATAATGGAAGGTTTTTTGTGATGTATGAAACTTGTGTTTTTTTATATAAGCAAGTACGGTTTAGACTAGTGTTGTGGTAATGCCTGTTGTCATCTGTAAATAGCTATGTATGTACACAAGGCGCTACTTCTGATTTTTTCTGCAGTGTTCAGTCTTAGTTTTTACTTCACTATTAAAAGCATCATGTTTTTGCTTTAACTTTGTTCTCTCAATTGAGTTATTAGATATGCAAACATGTACAGATAGTTCATATTTATGTATTGCACATAATCATGCTACCCAGCAACAATGCTATATTGTATTATGTAAATAATAAAAATCATGTACAGAGGGGAATACTTCCTTTTGTGATAGTTCATTGGTTTTAGTTATTGCTGTAACTTGAAGTTGGCCTTGTGAGATTGGGCTGCAGAGCTAAGCACTAGTTTTGCATAGATGTTGTCTTTTTGCTTCAACCTGCCTGTTTCTCGTCTTTGTTTCTTGTTGTGACATACCATCTTGTCTAAGGTGGCCTGTTGAGGTCAGAGAAGCATGAACAGCTGGAATACAGATATCCACTTGATGACCAGACAAAAAGGTCAGGAGCAACAACATGTTCAGAGGGAATACAGGAAAGCACGAGCAGTGGACTTTAAAAGGCTTTTTTTTTCCTCCTTTTGYCTACAAACGTTGTTTCCAGAGGATCTGTTATGATAGAGTGACTGCGTTGCTCTGTGCAGATCTTCATCAGCAGATGGCCAGAGTTCTTGTTGGGGTCTGTATCTAAATTTGGATGTTAAATATGCCAGACCTACCTTCCCAATGGCAAAGAAAAGTACAGAGCACACAGCGTATGTTCACTTGGAAGAAGCTATCTTCACTGCTGGATAAAATATCCATTTCTGGTAAAAGAGGCTTTTATGAAGTGCATCCCACCAGTCAGCTGAAACGAATACTCAAGTAGTAATTTACTGCTCCTACTGCTACATATACTTCCAATAAAGGGAAGAAGGGATGCTCTGGGCCTTCATTTGACAGAATAAATTTTATGACTTTTAAGAGGGACTGCTTCGAAGCACTGTGTCTTTTCACGCTTAGTGCTAAAGCAAGATGAACTGCTCAACTGCAGGATAAAAGGCTTTTCTCTTTTGGATCTGAGAATGCTTTGGACCAGGATATTTAAGGAAATGTTTCCATATTCATGATATTGTTACGGCTAGTGTACTTGAGGAGCTCTGCTGGTACCAGTGATTCTGATGTGCTCTTTTGTTAATCTGCTTTTGCATCTAAAAGTCTGTTCTTGAGAAACCTTGTTGAAGCAGCTGAACTCAGTAGATCTGTGGAGGAGAACGTGGAATGAGAAATTCCTGCTTGGTCTGTGTGACCCTAAGTTTTGTCTCATGTGCGAGTTGCTCACAGCTGGGATATGAGCTTGTAGCCCCAACCAGGTGTCTAAGCTCTGCTGTGCTCTGTGTTTGTGATTCGGGTAGGCTGTGCAGCCATTCAGGAGCCCTACSTGGGGCTCATTGAGAATTCAAGGAGAAAGGAGGATTTTTGATAAGAGCAGGAAATGAAAACATGTGATAAATGATGTGATAAATTAACCCTGGTGCAAACACTGCAGTGCATCTTTGTTGGCAAAGGGGGTAAGAATATAGGTGCAGAGCTCTTAATTCTCTCCACCGCTACCTAATTATAACCTTGGAGGTGGATATAGACTCTTAAATGACTGATGCCCACTGTACTGCCAGTCACAGTCAGTCTGGGTGCATTATCAGAAGTAGCATTGAAATGCTCTGAGGAAAAGAGGATTACAAAGTTTGTCTTCTGTAACGTTTAAGCACAAGCCATTCATAAAGCTGCTGTGGAGGGGCTGTCCTTGGCCTCTTGATGTGAAGTGACAAATGGCTCCAGACAGTATGCTGTTTTCTTTTCCAGGAAAGAAACGTGATCACTTCACATGACACTAAGCCCTTATTTAACATTTGGCTGTTACACTGAGATGATATTAACTTATACATAAACATGCTATTTTGGAAAGTTTCTTCCTATGCCCTAGGGCAAGTTCATCAGATGATAGGGGCTCTTTTTCAGTGAGAGAATTTAAAAATAACAAATAAGTGAAAGCAGCTTTGGTCAGTCTTTAGTTTTCTAGATGCTTAACTTAGTGTTACAGTTGTACAGTAGGATAGTTCATAGCATTCTGTGCAAACTGATTCCTAGCTGTTAGGCCCCAATTCTGGAGGATGAATGACAAGCTTCCTATGGTGTTTCCAACCTGTCACTGTAAGGTTGATGAATTGCCAGATGACTTGGCTGGTTGTCGTAAAGCTGAGAATGTGACGGGGTTGAGAAGTCCTGTGATCCTGCTGTTATTTGGCCCATTTGATATTTGTGATGATCTGTTATTCTGAACTTAAATATCACAGATTCATAGGCATGTGTTTTTTCAGCCATAATGCCTCGTTTGTGTTTAAAATGACTCAGAATCAGGTTTGTCATCCTAGACCAACATACAAAGCACTTTTTTGTCTTTATGGGGATAATGGATGAATTTTCTTCCAGTATTTCATGTATCTGCTATCCAACTGGGGATATATTTAACATTAAATCAATTAAATAACAGGATAGCTGATTTAAACCTTTATTCTTTCTTAATGCAACCGCATGACACATTATGGAATAGCATAATAAAGTATAAGTTGTTGTGTTTCTTTACATGGATCTCTTAAAATAAAGATAATGCATAATAATAGCTTTTAAATGTTGTTCACTTTCTGTTAATTGTTTTTGATGACAATTCTTGATTTGGAGTTAACACGCTAACTGTAACTGATTATCTCCTTAATGTTATAATTGATTTGCTTAACAAATATAATCAGACTTTTGCTTGCATGTGTGATGTTTCATATTTTATAAGAAAAAATGCAGAAGATTAAAAATTTTCAGTATAACATATTTGTGAGGTGCTGGCAAGTCCTCCAAAGTTTCTCTCTTCAGTGTCACTATCTCCTATTGCATTGGGATACCATTTTTTATTTATTTATTTATTTTTTATTTTTATTTTATTTTATTTTATTTTTTTTTTAGGATGGCTTTTGATGTCCTGAAACAATTAAGGAATGATTTTAAACTATCAGGTGTTCTAGTTTTTTTGCTTTTTTTTGAAATTTGTATCTGTCTTACTTTATTGCCCTCACCCTTCTTTCCATAATAGAGGGGGAAAAAAACGTAAAGTGAGGTAGGCAGGAAACTTTCCAGGGTAGCTGGAGAATTTACTGGTGCTCCTTATTATTCAGTACTGTAGGTACAGCCAGAGACGCAGTTGAATGTGGGACCTTGTGTTGCTGAAGCCAAGGTCCTGTAAGGATACTGGGAAGGCACAAGCCCTCCCTGACTATTAATAACTGTTATTTGGGATAAGTATTTCCACACGGTCTTTCTTCTTCCCTCTTCCTTCCACCTTCCAATAGCTGCCTTAATAAAAGGATTATTGTTGATGCAGGTACAGCTAAGAAACGTTTTTCTCTAATACATACATATATTTTTACATCCTGTACTCACTCTCCTGAATAGTATGAGCATGCTTGCTCTACAGTAGTTCCCCTGCACGAAACACCAGCAGTAGAGCTCTGTAGAATTCACACAAATTCACGTGGCGCAGGTCTGAGGTAATGGTTTTCAAAGTCAGGGAGAGTTATCAGTAGGCTCTAGTCCAGCTGCATCCCATGGTGTTGTGCAGGAGGTTGTTTAAAGCAGCTTGTCCTCCCCTGATGGTTGCATCTCACTTTGAGCTGAATGGCACATCAAAACTGAAAAGTCCGTTTTTCTGCCCCTTTCCCAAGAATTAGGCTATCTTAATTCCTATGATGAAATAAGAATACTTCCAGAGTTTACTAACGCAACCAGTGATCACCAGTGACACAAACTAATCTGTATGGAAATATGCTGATGGAGTCTTGCTGAAATCAGCAGAGCTGCACAAGCTGGTCTGAAGGAATGAGGCCATATGCTCACCTTCCTTCCACTAGCACCTTCCTCAACTATTTTAGCTGGAGATTTTCATTTGTGATGCCACATCATAGAGATAGTATCATATGTTTTATATTCTGCTACTTCTGCTAGGGRATTTTTTTTGAGGGTGTAGCAGGGCAAAAGATCATATTGGAGAACTCAAAATCCAGGCATAAAGGATGTTTCTAACTATTTGGAAAGCTGGTACACAGCAGACTATCCAAACTGAGTACTCCAAGATTCTCTTCATGTGTTACGTAGCAGACTGATGCCATGTAATGCCAAACCTAATGACTTTTCARTCATATTTGAGATGAAACTTGCCCACTTAAGATGATTTTAATAATACTATACARTCCTTGCTCCAAAATCTATTTTCCTGTTACTCGATGCTACAAAACATTACTAGACAGTACTACTAGACTCAACTTTTACTGTTCATTTGAGAGATTTCAATTTCAGAAGGTTATTTTTTCACAAGTGTAACGACCTGTTTGACACACCTGCCTGTATTTGTCATGTCTGTTAGTCTGCATCAGTCCAAGCTTAATATGAATTGGACTTTTATCCTTTGTCATTAATGAGCAAAACATGGAAGTTGTTCAGCATTCCCTAGCAGCTCTGCCATGACAACCTGCTATATGCGCTAGAGGAAGGAGGTAACATGTACCAATTACGGAAATTGATTTGTTTCAAGTATCCAAATGTGTTAAGAAACAATGTAAAGCTACAGGAAAAAAAAAGTTTTGAAGTCCGTATAGATGTGATTTTAATATTAGCTGTCACAGACCTGCTGTAATCCCTGACAATTAGCTTATATTAATTCTAGTTTCACAGCCAACCAAATGGTGTATTTTCCCACAAATAACCTTTGCAACTCTATGTTCTTTGTATGTAAAGGCTCTGGACTGTGCTCTCAGCCTCATTGCACGGATTTACTTCTGAAAGCACATGAATAATACTGGTATTCATAAATGTCAAATCTGAACAGAAGGAACCAGCCTATAAGAAAATCTGAGCTGGAGAAAGAGAAACTGCATGCAGAAATGCTAAACCATAGTCCAAGAGCAAAGTTTGCCCTGTGAGGGCAGTAAGAAGTAGTTATTGCCACAGTGAGATCAATGACCAAGAGAAGACGACCCTTACAGTATACCATAAATACCCAGCAAGATATACCTTAGCTTTTAAATTACCCATGCTAGCATTAACTTAGCAATGGACAAGTAAGAAACAGGTTTTATTTGCTGTATCAGAAGAAATTTGCTGAAGCACAGAAGTGCYGAAGTACTTGTGTATCAGAAGTATTTGCTGAAGAAAATACTGAGACAGTTTGCACTTAAAGTTGAGAGCAAAGCTATCAAAGGGCACATCAACATGGGGAAACAGAACCAAGCACCAGATTCTTAACTCTRATAAAGAACTGAATATGATAGAAGACGCAAGCACTGGCATTTAGATGCTTTGGATTGGCACTGGATGCTAAACAGCAGAAAAAAAGCAGCAATTTTTAATTCAAATGAAACAAAAACAGAAGTGTAAAACTARTATGTCACTTTTAAAATAAAAGCAAGAATCAACACCTATCAAACCATTATGGTTTACATACTTATTTGCGATAGATACAAATCTGTACCAGTTAAATATATATATTAATAGCACACAGATGAAATAGAAAATAACATTTAAATGCTATTTTCTTTTCAATGCATATTTATCTATTCCTTATTGGCTTGTGGCTGGTATTTCAGTAACGCTCATTGTTAGGCTCCTCATATCAAGGCTCCTTTTAGCCCGGGTCCTGCACGAAAGACACCTTTTTGAAGTTTCTTTGTACCCCCAGTTAGTTTCTCCTTGTCTCTAAAATCAGCATTAATTCTGGAGTATCATTAAGCCACATTATCACAAATAGGGGTTTATTTAATTTAGAGGGAAAATTGGGGCTAAGTGGTGTAGTTGCCCGCGGGCTRCTGTGTGAGCAGGGCCGGCAGGGCTGGGCTGTGCAGTCAGCGCTAACCYGAGGGAGATCAAATCCTGCATTAACAGCACTTATGGCACTCGAGAACAGGCCGGTGTCCCTTCCTCTCGGCTTGCGTCCTGTGGCAAGGTGAACCACAACCTGGGCCAATGCAAAGCACTTCGACATCTTCTCTCATTAAAGCATGGCTCGTAGGCTCTGGATGTCCAAGTGTTCTCATATTAAATGAATTAAATGACTATCCTTGGTCTGCAATGTCGTTATTAATGCATATGTAGATGACAGTATTTCACACTGCCCAAGCTTTTACTTTGTCTGCTCTCTGTATGCTTTTGTAACTGTCACACGTATTGTTTTGTTTTGTTTTGAATCTGTATGTGTGTGTGTGCGTATGTGCTTGTAAATTACTATTTTAGAACTTATTTTATTTGGTGGTTTGTTATTTTTGGGGGGAAGGAAAGGGTAGGAGGGTTTTACTGTTGTTTTACAAGGCTATCAGAGCTCTTCACAGTAGAGTTCTTCACAGAACTCTTCACTCTTCTCTCCTGATGGTTCACTCTCCTGTTGTTTTCAGGCTCTTCATATAACTCTTTTTATTGTCTCAATAATAAAAGCAATATAAATGAAGGCCCATGTAACTTGTAGGGTAAAATGAGGTCAGAAGTTCAGAATGGGGCTGCTTTCTTGGCATATAATTCCCCTTTTTTCAGATTCATTTTCCCACTGTAACAAYAGAAATGATGAGACCTGTTATCAAAAGTATAGCCAGCTCCTGAAAGGTGTAAAATGCAGAACACACATTTTTATATGCATATTATTCTCCTTTTTATTAGTTGATTTTACTTTTCTATTTTCTTGATACTTGTTTGTGCATGTACAAACAATTGAGGAAACTTCATTTCCTCACAGCATTTTGGTGGTGGTGTGATTAGCTTGTTGGTGAACCCTTTTGTGAAATAGACATTTTAAG